CCCCCATCCCTACCCCCTCCATGTTCTAGGTATCCCACTTCTTGGCACGCCTTCTACCAGATTGCAGCCTGGTCAAAGTCGAACCTCTTCAGCTCCTTCCCTGCGTCTTCCAAGTCCTTCTTCGCCTTCATACGCATGTAGAAGATGGGGCAGTCCTTGCTACTGCAAATCACTTCGCAGTGCATGCTGCCCTGACACCGCTGGCACTGCGTCCAGAGCCGGCCGAACCGCACCTCGAGATCCGACGTCTTGTCCAGTGTCTTCTTGTACAATTCGCCGACCCGAGGCGCGCAATCCGAGCACACTGCCCCCGCGCTCTCCTCCTTGCCTCGGAGTGGTTTCTTGCATCCCATGCATGTTTGCGTCTTCTTTGCAAACTTCATCAGGCCTCCGACGGCCGGCGCCGACACTGCAATCGTGCGTGTATGCGCTCCCGTAAGCAGCGAGTTCGCCTTGGTCTCACCCAAAATGGGCTCGAAGATTCTGCCCAAAGGCTTCGCAAGCTGGTTATCAAGGTAGTATCGCGTGTCAATTGGTACGTTGTTCTCAAGGACGTAGATGGGATCCTCAGACTTCTCGTAGTTCTTTGCGCCTGCCGCACCCTTGATCATCACGTAGGCAACTCGGTCACCTAGACCTGGTGCCGAGCCTGCATCGCGCTTCTTCATTCTCTGAGCGAGCTCTACATGAGCCTGTTTGGCCGCGTAGTCGTCTTTGGTGAGCGCCTTCGTAATGACCAACTTCGACATATCAACCTTGTTTTGCAACAAGTCCGCAATCGTGTCTTTGACGTAGCTGAGAGTGAAAGGTCAGTCGGCATGGTTCAATAATCAGACGGCGCGAACTTACTCTTGCGCTCCCTGGACATCTTGGTCGATGAGCATCATTCGAAGCACCTTCTCAATGACGGTTTGTACAAGCAGACAATTGTCTCGTCGAACCGTCTCAATACCCTTCGTATCCATCTTGTCGTACTTATTGGGGTTCGTCCAGTACAGGCCAGCGTATCGCTTCTTGTTGATGAGCAGGTATGGGTAGTATACCTTTTCGAACTCCAACTTGATCGGCTTGACAAACTTGGAAGAGACGAAGCTAGCAGCTTCTTCGCCAAACTTCATTGCCTCGGGAAGGTCTTTGGTGCCGAACTTGACCATGACAGAGTCAGTGTCACCATAAATGACCTGAGCGTCATGTGTGTATCCATTGGCAATGCAGTACTTCTTCTCAACCTCCTCTTTTGTCTTCATGATCATTTGTCGGCCAAAGGCTGTTGTGCTACTGGCGATTTCAAGACAAGGCAGCTTGCCAGTTGTCGCACCCGTGAGTCCGTAGACGGAGTTTGCACTGATCTTCAAAGCCAGTTGTCGACCGTTCAGCACTGCTTTCTTGAAAGGATCTGTTTCTCCAGCCAATTCATGCTTGGCCTGCTTTCTTGCCGTCAAAAGTTCCTCGAGAATCTGAGCAAGAAGTCCCTTTCGTTGTTTAGTGGTAACAAAGGTGTCGCCGTTCGGGGTAACAATGTAGTCATCGTCCTTCTTCAGATCAAACTTTTCGATGGCCTTCTTGTTGACCAGTGTTGTATAGCAGAGGTTGTGGGCTTGCATGATACTCGGGTACAGTGAAGCGAAATCGAGGGTTGCGATAGGCACATCGTAGTATCCTCGGGTCGGCTCGATGACCGTGGCACCTTCATACTGCTCATCACTGCCCTCAGACCTCATGTTGGGGATAACTAGCTTCTGTTCCAAGGCCTTCCGGAAAAGCTGACTGATGAACTTAACTTGCTGTCCTCGAGAGAGCAAAAAGTTGAATGGGATACCAGTGACTCTGGCCATCTCAGTGTAGTTCTCGAGGCAAGATAGCTTGTCCATGAGCCGCTGCGGGAGGTATGCGTCCTTCAGACAGTAAAGGGCGAGACGTCGGCGTGATTCGGGGGTACCGTTGAACAACTCTGTGATCATGGTGTAGTGGACATCCTCCTTTTGCTCTCCCAAAAATTGGGAGCATACAGAGTTGAGCGTATAACTTCGAAGGTGGTGGTCGCGTTGGACAAGCTGCAGTAAGTCGAGTTGCAACCGTCCGTTGGTATTGGTGGCCTTGCTATCGCGGTTACCCATCTGCTTACTGGAGAAGTTCGTCTCCTTGGCTCTGGAAGGGATGCTAGGGATTCGAGACCAGTACTCGAATCCTCCAACCTTCAACGCCTTTGCTCTGTCGAGAAGGTATGGGAAATCAAAGTTGGCAATGTTGTATCCGATAATGATATCCGGGTCGACTTTGATGAGGAACTTCTGCCACTCGCTGAGCATCTTCTCCTCTTTTTCGAACTCAAGAATCTGTGTGGCGACGATAGGACTGGTTGTGTCCAAGCAGAACACATTCCGCACGAAGGGCTTCTTCTCTCCATATCTTGTGACGACGTTGGCAATCTGGATGACGGGGTCATGTGTCGCCTCTGGGAAGATGCCCTTACGTCCAGCGCACTCGATATCGAACGACATGATTCTCAGGGGAGCCATCTTGGACCACTCTCCGACCGGCTTGTGAGCGATGAGGTCCAGATAATTGATCTCGGCTTCGATCTGGCAGTTCGATTGTCGTTGAGACTGGTGCAGAACCTGGTATTTTGATGCAGGGGCTTCAACCCAAGACATTCCGAAGATCTAGCAAAATCACATTAGCCTCGTCGAGACAGTCGATACCATAGCAACGCACCTTGCAGTCAACCATGAAACGGAGGACGTATTGAATATTGTCGAATGTCATGATGCCACCATCCATGCCCTTCCACAATCCCTTCCAGTTGGCATTGCCCGACTCGATCGTTGTCCGAACTCTAGCGATGAACTTGGGGTCCATGACAGTGACCTTGAGGTAGGGGCTCTTAACATTTCCTTGGAACCCGTATATATTTTCCCTCATCAAGAAAGAGACCGAGTGAATACAAGGCTGGTGCTGTGCTACTTGTGACTCGAGATAGGCCTTGAAAGCATTGCAGTCTTCGGGTCGGAACGCCACCGGGGCAGCGACGTAGAGGTAGTGTTTGAAGTCCGTGACGTGCAACATCACTGAGTGGCCTTGCTCGGTAACACCAAACAGCTTGACCGTTGCTCGACCGCCATGTAAACTGCCCTCCTCGGCCTCGATTTGCTGGAAGATCAGGTTGTCCCTGGCCGGGTTGAAGTCGACAAGCGGAGGCCGCTCCCATGCTTGATCCTTTTCGGTGTTGTTCTGCTTGAGTTCAGAGATATCCTGACTCAACTTCTCAAGGACTTCTGATTCGAAGGCGCTCTTGGGTTGACTAGAGCCCGGGATATTCTTCGCATTCTTCTGGGAACCGACATGGCGGGCGGGTGAGGACGAGAAGCCTTCGACTTTGCGCTTCTTGAGGGACGATGGCGTCGACGGGATGTTGCGGCGGGTGCTTGGTGTCTCCCCAAGCACACGCTTTTGAGGCAGCACTGTAGCCATTGTGGTGATCTGGCTGTGGTGGGAGAATTGTGCAGAGTGAATCAACCAGACCTCATAGTCGGGTGGGTTTGGGGGGTCGTTAGGTTGTTGCTATGGGATGGAACTTTCAGAAACCCATTAACGCGAAGACGCGCTTGACGTGATTGACGTCGACGTGACTTGACCCACTCTAAAGTGGCTGATGGAAGGCGCGAGCTGATGACTAAGGCAATTGAACTGGGGCTCCTCTAGGTCTGAGACGCGACGTTGACGCCAAAGACGGGAGGTGCAGGAGAGCGGGTACTTCCCAGATTATCCCCACTCAAGTTCAGGTATACCCTCCAGTATCAACAGTGAGGCAAACGAACAAAGTTGAAAAACGAGCTCACCTTCTGGGTTGTTTGTTTATTTGTTACCTTCCTAGCAATTCATTCTAGACACTGTAACACTAATGTCTTCGCCATCACTCTTTTCTTTTGACCCCCGAGCAATGCAATGATGTTTTCAAAGGTAAAACTTCGGTGACCAGAATGTGGTCGGAAGGTTCTCACGAAGGAAAGAAGCGATGGATGACTCCTCGCAAAGCCAACTCTTGATATTAACTGAATAAGGCTAAGGCATATGGGATATCAAAATGTTAACAACTACAAAATGTTGGAAGCTCTTGTACAGAACCACATGCCCCTAGAAACAACTGGCCACCTGTTGTTGCACTGCTACGCATGGTCTCTGTTAGCTAGAATGAACTCATTAATACAAGTGATTCAATTAGAGCAACATGATAATATATAATCTCGCAAGGCAAATAGTCGCTCTAATTCCTTCGCGAAGAAACGGGAGAAAGAGAGACGAGATTGCTTGCAGTCATCTTCAGATATCCATTCTAAGAGGCATCAACGGCAGTTTGTCACGACCGCTCAGCTAAGCCATGCAAATAGGATTCATCAAGAGATTGCTAAGAAACGTCATAGTCGTAAAAAAAAGAGAGAAGCAAACTTACTCTGTCAACTTCCGAAACGTATGCTTTGGCGTGGTAGGATAGCACTTGACGTAAGGCGCCGTAACGGAGTATCTTGGTATTGCGTCTGTGGGCGCGACCATGGCAACCTCCTTCCTCAACGGCACACAGGCAAGGCAAGTAATTAGACACAGGAAACCACGGGGAAAGAGTATTAATTTATGTTTTCATATTAGGACCGGGTTGGGTTTTAAATACGTAAACCTCGTGCAGCCCATCGAATGATATGTGCGGGGTAAACCAGGGGCGTCAACACAACGTCCGAGGACGATGCGACTGCGTGATGCCGAGACGGTTGGTCGGTCAGCGGCAGCGAATAGAAAGAACCCTGGCAAATTCCCGCAGCGCTATGTGTGTTCGCTATGTGTGGCTCTACCTATGAAGACGACTTGTCTCTGTTGGACGTACGGGAGAGGATCCTTCCTTCTTTTTTCATAAAATACCCATCGTGAACCGGACGCCGTCGCTGAGCAATGCAAATCGTGAACCACCCTTGCCAAAGTCCATAAACCAGTGCAATGCAGACTCTCGTAGCATTAGTTCGGTCATTCCTCCTATGATGTCAACTCTTCATGATGAAGTGATCTTGAAGTTGTCAAGCTCGCACCAGTTGTTTACAGGCTAGTTTCAAGTCAGCACATGATCGTCAGTATGGGTTAACAGATAACTTACAATACAACTCAGGTACTTGCACCAGCTGCACGTGTTGTGGTAGATGTAGAAGTTGTTAAGCAGGACGATGAAGACGATGATGACAGTCAGCAAGAAGCCGGCTCTGACCAACCACCATGCCCACCAGAGTGGCTTCCTGCCCTTGAAGAAACCGATGGGATTCTTCAGGAACGGAGGCGGGCCACCCTGGTTGGGAGTAAGGTGCATGGACGCGTATGACGGATCCTCAGCGCCAAGTCTCCGTCTCAGGGAATTGGGCGAATGCAAGACGCAGATGCCGAGCGCAAGACCCATCAGGAAGCCACCAATATGGGCAAAGTTGTCGAGTCCTGGCAGGAGACCCAGAACGAAAGAGATGACTACGTCCAACATGATGAACATCAGGTCCTTGACAGGGCTGCGGCGGTCTTTCCATGAGTACAATAGATCGAGCAGAGTTAGGGCAATGACGCCGAAAAGGGCACCTGAAGCACCCGTAGACGCAGCCATAACACCGGCGTAGTTTGCTCCCATGACGTTGCCGAATATACCTGCGCTTACATAGACCAAGAAGAAGCGAATCGAGCCGATAGCAATTTCCATCTCCTTTCCTATCGTCATCTGCAGAAGCAGGTTGAAGCCGATATGGATGAGCCCTGCGTGCAGGAAGATGGGCGTGATGAAGCGGAACCACTGGTTGGGTTCCGGCGACTGGTTGATGTCGGTGTAGGTAGGCTCCGGCACACCTCCAAAGCCGCACAAATCGCCGAGACCGCACTGATTCGAGGGATTGCTGGCGTCGCTTGAGGTCGAGTTCGGGCAAGGCCAGGTAATGGGCTGGCCGAGATCTTGGATACCCTTGACGTTGTGCATGCAAGCTACGTAGCGAGCACCCATGTTGATCATAACGTAGGTGGAAGGTCCAATCATGGGGTTGAACGAGGGTTTGGTCATGATAGGAGACCCGGTAAGTTGAGCTGCGTTCCTTTAGTATCAAATATCATCAAGTTTGACCTGTTTGTTTGACTTACCATTCTTCACAATCTCAGCGATGAAGACAGCGACCTGAACCAATGTGAAAATGTAGACAACCCACGGAATACCCTTTCTGTCGGCGCCAAACATGCCCAGCTGACCAAACCCAACCTTGTTCTTGTCGCGGCGGCTCTTTGAGCGACGAGATCCCGCAGGTGCGTCGTAGACATGATCATTCTCGTTCATCTCCACATCCTTATGCGGCTGCGTCGGCTGCCGGCTTTGCAGGGGGATTTCGTCGGCCACATTTTGTCTGCTCGAGTCTGGAGAAGTCGAATGGCCGTAGTACGCGGTGTCCGGCTGAGCATAAGGATTCTGCTGGTGGGGATCGTGGCTGTTGTAGGCCGTCTGGCCGTGGCCTGTGTAGGCGGTGTTTACTGTGTTCATCGTGTTCATACGCTGAGGTTGCATGTTGTTCGTGGTCTGGGGATGAGGGCTCTGCGTGTTTCCGTTGTGGCGAAATCCGTCCTGCGTTGAGTCTACTGGATAGACATGATCGTCAAAGACGCTTTCGAAGGGAGATACGGTGTTGGCGCGCGGTGGTGGTGGTTGACTGGCGCCGGGCGCGGGCGGTATTGAGCTGTAGGGAGGAGCGGGTGTTGAACTGGTTGAGGGAATGTTGTTGTAGGCAGCACCGCCGTAATAGGGAGCAGGCGAGGGAGAAGCTCCTGGAGGGGGTAGCGGTTTGTTCTGGTAATAGTCGTTGGCGGCCATGATGTGTGCTGGGTCGGCGGATGCCAATTACGAAGGGATTGGAATTAAGTGAGACCAGGGGAATGGGAATCTGGGCGAGGTCTCGTCCTTTTCTGAGAGTCGAAATCTCGCTTGGAGTGGCTGAACTAGGCTGAGACGGGCAGCGAAGGCAGGCAAGGCGAATCGGACTAGTGCGAGATGGAGAATGGCTCAGGTACCGACCGGAAAGGGATGGGACGCGGAGAAATGTGACAGCGGGAGGGTTGAAATGAGGTGTGTGTCGTAACGCGGTCGGGGGGGTCGTGGATATTTGTTCGATGCAGCGTTTTGGCGTGGATCGATGAGCCCGAGCTAAGCCTGGAAGACGGATGGAGTGATTGAGTTGAGGTATGGATACAGTGCAGGGTGTCCGTGAGCGCGGTGGGTCGGTAACAAGCAAATTAAGCCCGACTAAGCCAGCCTCTGTGAATGAGACCAAGGTAACCGGAGTAAGCTGAAGCTGAGAGGGCGAAGCCGCAAAGGAGAAGTGAGAAGAAGGTCGTAAAGTAATTGCAGGTTTCCCTCCAGGCGCGCGGTAGGCGAATTATGAACTAGCGGACTGGGAGAATGCCTGTGCACTCAACCTGAGCTACACTACTTCGGATGACCGGGTGAGTAGAAGATGGTTTGGGTGTTTGGGTGTTTGAGTGTCGGAGCGCAGAAAGGAGAGTTCCTGTGTGACACCCAAGGGGTTATAGGGGGGCAGAACGAGTGAGGGGAGTGCCACCTTACGCAGTAAACTCGTATGTCGTCGGTCGAGGGATGAATCTAGTAACAGGAGCAGGACACGTTCTCACGACACGAAGGGGGGGGGGGGATGCGAGGAGGTTATTCCTTTTAAACAGCCCAGCTTTCAAACGCAAGCCTTCCTGGTCTTGTTTCTGTTTTCTGCCCAAGCCCGCCAAGTGGGAGGCAGAGTACCTTGCGGCTGGCGCTGGACCAACAACTACACCGGTTTGGATCCATAGGTACGTAAGATACAGAGGAGGAACGGCAATGTGGTTGGCAGTGAAGAGGACCCAAAACACTGCCCGCCTCTCAGACTCGAGGCCTCTCTTGAATGAGTGGATCGCGGTGACGGGAGTGTGTGGGAGGGAGGTGGCCCAGTGAGAGGTGAAGAGGGGGATGCACAATGGCACACCACCAAACGGGAGTCTGAGCAGGGTGCAGTAGGCTTGCAGTAGTTCCGGCTTTGAGGCTGTGTCAGCAACGCCAGCCTTCTTTTTCTGCATCTTCCACTCCGACCTGAGTCCTTTCCCCGCCAAAGGGGACCGTCGCCATTCATACCTGCTGGAAGGTACCTGTTCGCACGAAGTACACCTAAAGGTATGGATCGGACATTTAAGCCTGAGGTAGGTGAGGTGGGCAAGGAACAATGGCGCTTCCTTGCCTTATGAGGTACGATGCCCTAAACCACGGAGTACAGGAGTCAAAAGTGACAGGGCGGCTGCCATTCGGAAGCGCATGTGCATCTGCAACTGGCAGCCCTTTGTGGCAGCGGCACACGTCGCGGTACGAAGACTCGTGGCTGCACCTCTGAGTTGTGCTATGTTTGGAACAGGGCCCCACAAGTTTCAGATAGTTGCGTAACCCAGCCTGCCGACCCCCGGCGTGGCAGATGAGAGCTGTGAGGTAACTCGACCAGACGGGGACCCTTCGTGCCTTCTTCCAACGTCCTTTCTTGCCTCTGTCGAATGTACCTTTCCACTAATTCAAACTGGGCTCGGAACAGAGCCACATCTCAGCCGAGGTCGATACCTATACCCGCCACTTCTCTTCCTCTTGAGTTTTTCCATGAGCCTCACCCTTCTGTTCTGCGGGCTTCATGGCAGCCTACATTGGGAGACATCTATCAACTTCAGACAGCAGGCCATCCACCTCACTCGCTGATCCGCTTAGGGAAGGCAGGATGACATGATGATCAACTGTCAGCACTCGAAACCTTGAAAGCCAGCCACAGCAGCTTCTTGGAATCCTTCCGATGAGGTGCCCTACCACAGTATGGCCAACGACTGCCGATCCATGCAGTGCATGCAGACTAAGGACAGCATCCTGGCAGCCTGTCTCCGACACTCGCTCCGCAGGACGACCACAACCCCAAGCCTTCGAGAGTCATGACCCTGGAAACCCTCGGCGATTCCACAGCGTTGGGGGAGCAACACCAGCATGAGGTGTTCATTCCATTATTTCCATCCCATCAACGTCAACATCAACTGCCTTGCCGCCATCCGACAAGGACAGGCCTGGCGGGGCAGGGAAACCTTCAGATTCTAATCGGCCTCTCCTTGGAATACATGACAAGAAAACATCCCGGATATCCGGGGGTCCCCAATACAGCTCTCCAATGTGCCTTATAAATGGACCCCAAGGACATGACCGACCGGAATGTGGATTTCGCAACACCCGCTATAGTGCGCCTTCCTAAAGAATCTGCCCGACACCGTGGGTTCATCGCTTCTCAGCCCCCTTTTGCTCGACTCTTCCCAGCCAACATCGTGGCACCTTTTTATCATTCCAAGCCTAACCACGCGTCCATGAGGAACCGGTACGAGAACAGAGAAGACGGACCCAGGCTGGCCTTCTAGCAATATCCGCTGTTGTGATCACGGAACTGTTACATGTCAGCTGAGCTTCCAACAGTTGCTGACATTCACTTGCATCGTCTTTGCAACAGTTTGGACGAAATACCTGCGCCAGGTTGTCAGCTCACTTACAACAGTTGTGCACTGCGCAGGCTTGGGGCACTTACGACAAATGGTGGCTCGGCCGTCACCCACTAAGAAATGGTTTGGTACTCGTGGGGGCAAGCCACATCCACTATCGGAGAGAAACACGAGAAAACACCCAAGCCAATGAGATGACGTACTTGGGCAACATTCGAATCCTCTTTTAACTCTCTCTCGTGCTTTCCTCTTGCGAGAGAGGTGACGCTGGATTTGACAGCACCCTGCCAGTCATTTTGGCATTCCCCTGAGCCAGCCCTATCCAGAATGCTGGCTCAAGCTGGAATCATCGTTGTCCGTGCGTTGTCGGAGATCGGGGGTCCTTTCGCCCTGCGTGCGACGCGACTGAATGGAACAACCTATGGGCATCTACCTATAAAGGCGCCTCAGGTCCACGACCGTTGCGACGCCACACGCTATCACGTGTCGATAAGATAACGGAAGGGAAAAAAGACCCCTGGTTTTATCAACTTTTTTTTTTTCCTTCGCTTGGGGGAGCTTTAATTAGCAAGAGGGTCGTTGCGCAGAGTTTCCAGAGTTCCTCAATTGCGCGGAGAATTGCCTACTGCACGCTGAAGATCCAGTTTACACAGTCATTCGAAACTATGAGCAAAAAAATCCGCGGTGGTGATTCCGACTCCGACATGGAGGACGGTGGCGCCAAACTCAATGCACCCACGGTTCGCCTGACTCCCCGAGTCTTCAGCTGTCATGATTTTAACCCCCACCTTAGGAGAAATCGACCGATGCCATGGATGTAGATGTCCCACCAACTCCTGCCGACAAGAGACAGGCGGCAGCCATGGCTCGCGCCGAACGAGCTGCGCGTAGAAAACAAATCCGTGAGGGGTTGACGCCGGGAGGTTCCCAAATTTCTTCCTTGGCCAGCACGCCGAATCCCGAATCCCAGCCCGCATCGCCTGCGCTTAAAGCACAGGAAAAGAAGACGAGGGGAAGGAAAGCGACAAGAAAGAGCATAAGCGTCGCTGAGAAGGCAGAAGAAAAACCAGAGGACAATACGGCGACGAGAACCCCCGACGAGACCACCACAGCAGCAGAGCCCGCAGAGCCCGCAGAGCCCACAGAGTCAGAAGAGCCAGCAGAGCCCGTAGAGCCCACAGAGCCAGCGACAGTGCCTACGCCTACTCCTGCAACAGATGCTGAGCCGCTCCCCTTCGTGATCGATGTGAACCCCACCAAGGGCAAGATCGCCGACAACACAAGCGCGTCCGTAGCCGGCTACGCCACATCCATTGCCCCCAGCTCGGCGTTCGGCGGCGACAGCCAGATCGGTGGCCCCAACCGCGCAGCAAGGCGGCGGCAGATGCAGATTGATAACCACCGGAAGGCGATTAAGAAGGAGCTTGGCATACCCGCCGAGTCGGACGAGCGCGCGGAGGAGGTGGACGCGCTGCTCAAAACCTGGGTCGCCGAGTTTGACGAAAAGACCGAGGCGCGGGCGGCCAAGAAAAAGGCCAAGAAGATCGCGGCAAAGGGGAAAGCAACGGGTAAGCCTTACTCAGGACGAAACAACAAAAATGATGAGAAGCAGAAGCAGATAAAAAAGCAGAAGCAAAAAAAGGCCCTACGAGACCGGCAGGGAGGCAACTAGGGGAGAAGTTGGCCGACCTGCGGCTCGATGGGGCCCCGCCGATTCTGGAGAGCAAAGGCGTCGTGAGGGAGTAATGGATGTGTGATGAAAGGAAAAAGGGAAGGAGACAGGAAGACAAAAGTATATATGCATGCATATTGGCGTCTAGCGGGTCAAATGGGAGGAGGATATATCAATAACAAATTGAACGCCGAGCTCAAATACGGCATACCGGCCATAGTTCGCAAGATGGCAACATATTATTACACGTCACAGATCGCAATACGCAAACCTTACTTGTGTGATGGTGCTCAATAATAGGAATGTACAGCCAGGGGAGATTGTCACCAACCCATCAATGCTCCAAATCGCAACCCTCAACGCCTTTTGCTAGACTTCCTGCTGGCCACAGTGTGTACCTAGACTCGAGTCGGATATTTCCCTCCAATGCCATTGTTTCTTGTTCTTGATATCCTACACCGGCCGTCACCTCCCATCGACAAAACCTCCCCCACTTATTGCTTCTTCTCGCCACCGTTTTTCTGACCCTCCTCTGCCTCCTCCTTCTTCGCGCCGCTCCAAACCTCAGAAACCTGCTCGGCAATCAGATCGCCCAATCCCTTGCCCTCAGCAAGCGCCTTTGCGTGCTCAGCAGCCCTCTTGGCCTCCCAGTCCTCGGGCTCGCTGCCGTACCACAGCCTCTGCGCGAGGTTGCGCTTCTTGAACTCGATGGCGCGCATCTGCTCCTCCGTCAACCCCTCGCGGCGCATCCGCTCCTCGCGCAGGAGCTGCTTGGTGCGCTGCGCCTGCTCGGGCAGCGTCGTGGGGAACATGCGGCCGAGGCGGGACTGCATGCGCTGGAAGAGGGACTGGCCGCTGTAGTCGTAGATGAGCTGGTTGCCCGAGGCGGAGAAACCGGTCCAGAGCATGAAGGTGCGCCAGTCGATTCGGCGGGGGGGCATGAGCATGATCAGGGGACAGAGGACTACGCCTGCCCAGGCTGCGTTGGTGATGATTTTGGGAGTCGGGGTCGGGGCCGGGGCTGGGGCTTGGCCCGTTGGTTGTGTAGAGGCTGAAGACATTGTGTATGTGGTTGTGATGTTTTTCCGCGATGGAGGTCTGTCGGGCAAGGGGGTTCGCAAGCTGCTCAGGTTCGGTGGCTGGGTGAATCTCCTCGCGGGTTCGATGACTTCAATGCTGTGTTTGTAGGTGTTTTCGAGTTCGGGACAGAGATTGGTATCGCAAGGTAGGTGGGTGATGCCGGGTGTTCGAGTCAATGACGATTGATGAAGCTGTCTGGTGCAGGTGCGAAAGAGAAATCTCCCAAAATTTTAGAAGCGCGCTAAGCCCCGGCGCCGAAAATCGAGGTGGGGCCGACCCGGGACTCCGGAACACAAACCACTTGAACCAAATAAATGCACCTGACTTACATGGGCAATCTCTAACTAAAACCTCGATATGGATTTCAATCAGTTATCAGAGGATGCAAATAGTCTCGCGGAATCATTTAGTCCATGGCAAGTTTTCACTGGAGGATTCTAGATATTGGGATCGCGAGAGTCAATTCAGTACCTTCAGGGTCTACTCCATGAAAATGAACGTGAGAAACGTGGAGAACATGTCCGAAGTTGACAAATAACAATGCCTACAGAGGCTTCAGAATCAAAAGGCTAGGTAAAGGCCATTCTTAATGTACTTGTCGACGCTTCTAGTCATCTAGCACAAGGGGAAACCCAACATCTTCAACGATGATCATTCGATTGTTTGAGAGCTTAGTTCAGCAACAGCAGTGTCTGTTCGCAGCCATGAAGAAATGGACATTTTTCAGGCATGACTGTCTGTCAAAGGGAACATCTGCTTAGTACGCCCATTTGGCCAATATAGAGGCGTCCAAAATCGTAGGGTCCTTTCTCCTCTTTAGATCATCACTGACTTGCTTCATTATCGTTAAGATATGACCTCTAAGTAACACTGGCCCCAAGAAACGCCTCCAAACATGCGACACAAAACCAAAATCCAGAACTTTTCTAGTTTTCCTACTTTTGAACTCCTCCGGATGCAGATGCGTGAACAGAATCCAAGATAGCCTCCTCTTCCTGCCACAAGTGCGCGCCCGTCTCCTTCAGCAACTGCACGCACTTCTCCTTGCCCATCTTCTCGGCTAGGTAGAGCGGCGTGTTGTTGGCCAGGTTCCTCGAGTGCACGCTGGCGCCCCTCGTCAGCACTTCGCGCAAGATGTCAATATTGGGCCCGACAGCGGCTAGGTGGACGGTCGTGTTGCCCGCGTAGTCGGCGGCCTTGAGGAGCTCGTGCTGGGCGTCGTTGTCCAGGATCTCCTTCACCGTCCGGACATCGCCGTTTCGTATGGCGTAACCGAGGACGGTAAATGCCGATTCTGACGCGGTTAGTCGCGCTACGACCGAGTCGAGTGAGCCAGATGGATGCGAAAATACCGGAAGAGCCATTTCGGTCATCTCGCCACGCAGAGACTGGGACATTCTCGCGCTGACCTGGGCGGTGGAAAGGCTGGGGATGGCGAGAAGGTAGGACAGCTTGGTGAGGGCGGCCTCTGCTGTGAGATCGAGGCCGAAGATGACGCCGGCGCGGCCGAGTTCGGTCCCGGGGCCGTAGACGGGAGAGACAAAGCCGCTCATGCACTGACTGACGTTGACGACGATGACACCGCGGTCCACGGCGGCCTTGATGACCTTGGTCAAGCTACCGTCGATACCACTGGGGGCGTTGCCCATTCCAAAAGTCTCGAGAATGAGGCCACGAAGGTCGGGAACACGCAGGACCGAGTCGAGCATCTCTGGCCTGATGCCGGGGAACACTCGAAGACAAGCAACGTGGGCGGTGTCGAGGTGCTTCGTGACCTGGAGCTCGGCGATTCTAGTAGGCCTCAACACGATGGGCCAGTTCACATCAATACCAAGTCCATTCACCTTGGCCAGGGGCTCGCAGTTGGGGCTGGCAAAGGCCTCGAAAGCGGCAGATGAGACCTTGCTGGTTCTGTTGCCGCGGAACAGCTTGTGGTGGAAGAAAAGGCCAACTTCAGGGATGACAAAGGTTCCTGCGATGATGAGCGAACCGAGGAGGTTGTCGACGGCGTCGGACTGGAGAGCAAAAATGGAAGCCTGGGAACCAGTGAGGATGACGGGCTTTCCTAGGTCAGAAAGCATGAATGACAGAGCCGAGGCCGTGTACGAAAGAGAGTCGGTTCCGTGCAAGACGACGAATCCGTCAAAAAGGCGGTAGTTTTCCCTGATGGTCTGGGCAATTTCCGTCCAGCCTTCCGCTGAGATGGAGCTAGAGTCCAGCAGAGGGTTAAATTCCAGCACACCGTAACGAATGTGACGGGAGTAGGCGCTCGGTGGTGTTCTCAAGCTGTCGATCATGATTCTTTTTCCATCTTTGACGGCCTCAAGTTGGACTATGCATTGTTAGTGAGACTCATTATAGGCATTGATGCTTTTGACAAATCGTGCTCCAGTTCAGCCGCGGCTCGTGAAGATATATTCTCAACATTTATAAGAAGTTTTCGTGAGGATGGGCCAGGGTTTTCAACATGCGAAGAAGGCAGTCAAGTACTCATTTCTTGACTTTTGTTTCTCCCGGGGGCGTGCTGTCTTTCAGAGAGACCTACCAGGAGGGGAGGACTTGTCGTTGAATGATGGCCGCGGGGCCATGGCATCCTTCAAGAAGCCTCCAATGGGCTGAAGTCCATCGGCGGTAGGCTGCATGCAGATGGTTCCGCCCGTCATGATAATAAGGACTCGAGACTCCGGGTAGTTGGACGCCGGCAGGAGTCTCTCGGCGGTAGGTTCGAAAGCCATTATGTCGGTGTATCCGTGATGCCAAATTCGAGTTTTATCAAAGGGCGAATAGTCAATGAGTGGAATGAAAGTTGGGTGTCGTCCAAGTCGAGACTTTATCACGTATCGACGCCTCCACAGATGGGTATAGTAAATTGAGGGGCACGGGGTAATGGAGGGGCAAGAGCTTTTGTATGGGGAGCGAGGCGACAATAGTTGGCCAGTGTCACGCAAGGGTGGTGCAAAATTTTGTAAATTTGGGCGGGCAGTGATGGATGATGAAAGCACGCGAGTGGAGACGGATGGCGAGTCAATCAAGTCATTTGTGGCATACATCAGCAATTTAAAGGCAACTAGAAGAGCCCTTGGTGGCCGGTATACGGCAACGGCGTGGATGAACCTGACAAGAGCTGGCTGAAATTGGGTTTTGCTGCTTGACCGAAGCCTTAGATAAGGAGGGACAAGGGAATGCAGGCAAAGATCAGACATTGCCCCTCGCACTTGACGGCACGCCTTATCGCGATAAGCCAAAATTTATTGCAAAACTTGGGCGAAAACACGAGTAGAGTCAAGTATCGCGGGGCAGAATTTGATGGGACATAAGCCGATAGCGGATGGCGGGCAGAGTTTTGGAGGGGTAATAATTAAGTAACAGAAGGGCCACGACAGCGGCGTGACCATCTCAAGGAACCAGGCATGGCTGGCTAGACTCGACGAGGGTGTGAGTCGCTGACCACGGCGAAATTCGTGTGGGAGGGCAAGGTGCCTACTCGTACTCAGGCAGAGGCTGCTAAGAGTTCTACGGTTGTAGTCGATATTTCTTGTTGTGCCAAGTTCAGCCCAGGATGGAATTAGATCTGGCATTTGCTTCGATGGCGAATTGGAATCAGCCTAAAAAATAAAAATAAAAAAGCGACAAGTTGCTTGCAGAACTTCCCGTCACCTTCGGACGATGACGCACGTGCGCGGACTAGGGGACTAGGCTAGAATGGACCTGCCACTTTTTCGAGACCAAATGCTGAGGTACGTTTCTTTCTTCGCGGTCCACTGTAGGTTGGACACGCTCGGCAGGACCCACAATGCAGGACCAGGGATTTTCCGCGACCTGAGTTCCATCATCGCCAATCTGGAACTTGATTGAGATTCTGCCACGGACACCGCCCAAACACCAACCCATCCTCAACCACCTGGGCAGGTGAAATCTAACAACTACAGAAGCTCCTCGCCATCGACGGAAAATACTTAAGTCTAGCATCTGTATACGCCGGCCACGACTATACCCGCGGAAACCTGGCCACGGCTAGCAATGCGACCTGTTTAGTTGTCGTTCGCCCTTGATCCCATCTGTCACCAGAACGTCCGATCGAGCAAGCCAGTCTTTCACGCGACAGGCGCATCTCGCTGCGCTTCGCATCCATCATGGATTCCAGTGCGCCCAACGGAGGCTTATCGCCTCGGACTTTTGCGATGCAGCACCAGCGTCCTCGGGCGAGTTTCCAGGGATGTTCACGAATCTCCGACTACGAACTCCTCGGGAAGTTGGGTGAGGGTACTTTCGGGTTAGTCCTCTTCCAAACCTCACTTCTCTGGTCGTGTTACTGATGTACTGCGCAGCGAAGTTCACCATGCGAGATCTCGCAAGACCAACGCTCACGTCGCCGTCAAAAAGATCATCATGCACCACGAAAAGGATGGCGTACGTGTGATCCCCGTTGCCAGATAGTCAGCGCGTCTACTTACCAATATTCGACAGTTCCCCATCACGGCATTGCGAGAAATCAAACTTCTGAAACTGCTCTCCCACAAAAATGTCCTGCAGCTGGTGGACATGGCTGTGGAGCACCCTCAGAGAGCCAGTAAGTCGCTCATGCTCAACTACCCAATTCGCCAGCAGCAATTCCTGACCCGAATTGTGACAGGCGATAAGCGCAAGCGCCCGATTATGTACATGGCAACGCCGTACATGGATCACGATTTGTCGGGTCTTCTCGACAACCCTTCCGTTCATTTCACCGAACCGCAGATCAAATGTTACATGCAGCAGCTCCTCGAGGGATTGCGATATCTGCACGACCAACATATCCTACATCGAGACATGAAGGCCGCCAATCTTCTCATCAACAATAAAGGCATCCTCCAGATTGCCGATTTCGGTCTGGCAAGACACTACGAAGGGCCCACACCCAAGCCTGGACACGGAGCAGGAGAGGGGAAAAGGGAATACACCGGCCTTGTCGTCACTCGGTGGTACAGACCTCCGGAATTGCTGCTTCACCTGAAAAGATACACCACCGCTATTGACGTTTGGGGTGTTGGGTAAGTGTCAGAATCGGCGCATCCTTGGCACCCGGTACTAATGATTTGGCAGCTGTGTCTTTGGCGAAATGCTTGTTGGAAAGCCGATTTTAGCTGGCGAGAGCGATACACACCAGCTTGACATCATTTGGGATCTGATGGGGTCGCCCACGCCGGAAAATATGCCCCTTTTCAACACTCTTCCTGGTGCTGAAGCAGTGACCCCACGCCCCCGGCCTGGTAGCATTACGAACAAATTTAGAGAGTACGGAACCGGAGCAGTCTCTTTGCTTAAGGAGCTTCTCAGACTCGACTGGAGAAGTCGCATAAACGCCGCCGATGCGCTCAACCATCCATACTTCAAGATGGCTCCCATGCCAGCCGACCCTGGAGACCTACCCACCTTCGAAGACAGTCACGAACTAGACAGGCGAAAGTTCCACGATCGTCAGGCAAAATTACCACCAGCGCCCAAGGGAGGCACGGTGGGCATGGGCCCCGAGGCGCACGGCGCGAATGCTGGTTTCAACAATAGCGATGCTTACAGCAACCGCAATGGCGTGAATGGTCGCAATGCCAATGTACCCGGAGGCCACAGAAATGGTGGCGATGAACGCCGGCCAGCTTGGCAGCGGGACAACAGAGGGTTGCCTCCGCGACCGCCCCCGCCCGAGTATGCTAACGGCGGCCCTATGCCGCCCCGCGATGACTACCGGGACAGAGACAGAGATAGGAGGCCGAGAAGTCGAGGAGGAAGAGGTCCAGATGTAGACACGTATATCCCGAGCTACAGAGACGATGTTCCTCCACGACATAGAGACGACCGACCTCCTCGCGACCGACGCCGCAATAGTAGAGATGAGCGATGGCACGAGCGAGACTGGGATCGCCGGACGCGGAGCCGTAGTCGCTCTCCCATGCGGGAACGGGACGCATACCGCAGATGAGATTGCGGCCTGTACAAAAGACAGTATAATATCGAATGGCAGGACAGCTCGGCGAAGCACTGGGACAGGCGTTTGGGGGTGGGAGCATAATTCCAAGCAAGGCTGGTATAAAAGTGATTCCCCGGTAATTGAATGCTTCTCTTCCCAGCAGTAATGGTTTATAAGAAGAAAGGCCGAATTACAAAGTCAAATCTCTGAATCATCGTCATCCTCCTCATGAATCGTTTGCGACCAAAGTCCAGGAGTTCGCCTCCGTCTCTTTGGGGGCGGCTTGTTTAGCAACTGCCAATCAGTCTCGTAGGATGACGAGTCTTCTGTTTTGCCAGTCCCGGGCCGCTCTGACAATGGTGTCCCCGGCATTGGCGTTGCAGAGGGAAAACTCGACCTCTCATCATGCATGCCGAGGATAGAAGTGATGACGCCTGATGTGCAAGCCATGGTCAGGCCAGCTAAGATGCCGATGCACGCTCCGCAGGCCAACTATTGGGGAAGGTTAGTATATCAGCAGTCCAATTCTTGTACAGGCAAGGCAGAAAACCAACAAAGGTATAAAGGGGCTGTGTTGTGCAAGTCAGCGATGCCCATAAATAACATGCGTTCCAAGGGAGGGAGGAGGAGAGTCTGCTTACCTGGAGACTGGCTATGAAGTCGATGACAGATTGGCACCACCCCAGGACAAATGTTGCCATGAGTAAGAGCGGCGATAGTAGTATGAGGATCACGTTGATGAAGAATGCCACTGGCTTCCAAGCGATTCTTGCGGGCCATGTCGCGATGGTGAACACGCCAGAGGCGTATGACAGCAGTGCCATGATATGAGGTGTGATGAAAAGACCTTGTAACGGTGGTACTTCGATTGACGTAGCGTTACAGGGGTAGCTCGGTGTAAGCTATACCTGGAGAAAACAGTATCACTCTTCGATCTCCCAGCATGGCAATTGGGTAAGTTTACGATGGCCTGGGAGGACGTTGAAAGAGTGGAGGTAAATGTTGACTGGGGGAGAGATGAAGCTTAAAGTCGAGGAGCGGTGGGTTCGTGACACGGGTGTTTAGTCCACGATGTGAGGCCGGTTACATTCCAGCCAGCCTTTTTGTTCAGAAATCCGGGGGTTGATGTTGATGTGCCGCGGCGCGTGGGCCAGCTCTGGGAGGCACCCCACGGAGAGAGTTGTGTTGGTACCTGCAACAAAGGTTGAGTTGACGGGAGCTCCGGCTCGAATTTGGAAAAAGTATCCGTCCCAGCAGCTCCTACAGGCTCAACGTTGCCAAGCAGGCACGAGGCAAGTAAGGTAATGGAAGGCAATCGGACGGCCGCTTTGAGAGGTACGGAGCTTGACTTCATCAGGCCAGGGGGGAGAAGAAGGATGGATTGGATGCAATTTAAGCCTGCGCGCACTGACCAGCTGGAGGTGCCAACGAAGCACACGCCATTCCTTATCATTCCCCGTCCCGTTTTGTGATGATCCGTTGGATCATGGTTTTTGAGAGGGAATATGGATGGAATAGCTGACTTTACAATGAACAACCGAATGCAAAACGAAAAAAACTGAACGTCACTGGACGCTCGAGGCCATTTGACAGGTATCCTGAAATCCAGCTACTGTAGAGATGACGATAAGGCCGGCCGGTAGGGTGACAGGTCAGGTCTGTCTGCGAGTTGCACAATGATGGGCTAAGCGGAGGCCCGCCGGTACTTGGTTCCCCATGGTCCGCAATATGCGGTATGGAGTACCAATCAGGTAGAGCTTATCTGGCTTCGGCTACATTTGAACCCCCCAAATCCAAGTGGGAACACACCACCACCACCCCTCCACACTCTTTCAACTTCGCCTGGTATTGAACTACCTAACTCAACCTCTCATCCAATCTTCGAAGCAACGAACCTGCCGTGTTCACTCTGCACCTTCTCGCCCCATCACCAGCGAATCTCCACTTCATTCTTTTTGCAGAGCACAGCAACCCTCGACCCCCGCCATCGTCGCCATCGACTCGCCTTGACTCAATCTTTCGAGAATGCGATAATTAAGTCGCAACCCCGCGTCTTTGCTACATAAGTATCGTCGTGCAATCCACGCCTAACCTAACCTGGATCGCACAAACACCAGTCGCAGCAACTACGGATACCTTGGCCCGACGTGGAAACATTGGGTCCCGACGACCCCCCGATTCTGACTGCCCGCCGAATCGCTGCATTGCGCTCTTCTGGGCAGCGCTGCCCTCGCGCTTCACTGCATCGCTGCCGTAACCTATCCCGCAACCCGCATCGCCTGCCGTGTGTCCGCCCGACCTCGCCGCTTACCCTGAAAAAAAAAAAGAGATCTAGGACTTACCTTGGGTTGGTCTGGCCAGGCTCCAGGACTGCGGACTGCGGACTGCCTGCCCACCTACCCCCAGAACGCAGCGAGACCACGCTGTCGTGTCCCACCTTACCTACCCTACGAGCGGATCTGAAAGAAGAAACGACACAAAATGGGAAACAACCCCTCGTCCTCGTCCAAGCCGGCCACGCCTGTCTCATCACAGGACTCTCCCAAGCACCACCACCACAAGAGGGAGTCCAAACACATCATCCCGCCCCGGTCTGCCGAGCGAGTTGCTGCCCCGCCTGAGCCTTCCCTTACCCAGGCACAAGGTTCCACGGCCACAAAGGGTCCCAGGCCTCTCCAGGCCATCCCGATCTCCAACTTCACCACCGGCTCTCCCTCGTCAAACTCGAGTAACTCCGCCCCGCCCCCGAAGCCCCCAGAATCGAAGAACGTCGTCCGCGATGCGCCTAGCAAGCCCGTAGACGTCCCTGCTGCTGCCGCCGCGACAGAATCCTCCTCCCTCAGATCGCATTACTCTGCCCACATGGTCGAACCACCGCTGGTTGGGAACAGCAGCGTCAACGACATGTCTTACCTGACACGTCCTCCGCGTATGCCACTTCCCATCGAGGAGGAAATTCACACTCCGGGCTCGCCCATCATCGCCCCGACCGACGCCAACGACGCTGGTGTGGCCGAAGTGGAAACCCTCGAGGATGGTATGACTAGGAAGTCCTCGGCCTTGAGCACAAATACAGTCGAAGAGGAAGATGGCGAAGAGTTGATTGTCGATAAGACGCGGCCAACGGTTCCTACTCGTCTCGAATGGCGCAAGGGAGGAGGCAAGGTCTATGTCACAGGAACTATCTTCCAATGGAACCGCAAACATAGATTACATCCTGTGTAAGTTTCAGTCCTGTGTATGTGGGCTTGAGTCTCGGCTGTCAGCGTTACACTTGTGACTCTCCAGTGGTCTAGAATTCTGACCCCTTGGCTGCCTTATTTACATCAAGCCCTACGTGCCATATCACAAGCCGATGCTCCCACGAATACTAAGCTGATAATGCGTCTTCAATAGCGATGGCCAGCCTGGCGTGTTTGCAGCCACGATCCACATTCTTCCGGGAACACACCATGTTAGGTTCTTGGTGGACGGAATCATGCAGACCTCACCCGACCTGCCAACCACTGTGGATTTCGGAAACAACCTGGTCAACTTCATCGAAGTGAGCGCAGATGACATCCCGGCAACAGCACCCGTTGAGCCTGGAAAGGACGGCGTGGCCACAGCAGCTACCATTGACAAGGGCGGCCCCAAGACCTCGGCATCGCAAACTGATGAGCAGCCCAAGGCGCCTAGGGGCAAAGAAGTGCCCTCGCCCAGTCAATACTTCCACCAGATACCCAAGTACTTGGTGGATTTTGACCAGCCCGAAGACTCGCCAGCTTACCAGTATGCGGTTACAGCTATTGAAAAGTTGCCGACACCTCCGAGCTTGCCAGGCTTCTTGGGTAAGCCCATCTTGAACGCCGCAGTTCTTATGAAGGACGACAACAGTGTGCTCAACATGCCCAACCATACCGTTCTCAACCATCTTGCCACCAGCAGTATTAAGAACAACATTCTAGCTGTGTCTGCAACCACGCGTTACAAGAACAAGGTACGTCATCTGCTGCGGTACTCAACTTGGTCCCGACTAATAAGTTGACCAGTATGTCACGACGATCATTTACAAGCCCACCACAACAGACGAGTGATTGGAAGCCTGGGGATCATACCGAGGAATTCCGCCATTGAGTAGCGTGCCTGTCCTAAGTGGATAATCGTCACCGAGCTTAGAGTGATTGCCTTGTGGAAAGAGGCGAACTGAATGAACAAAAGAAATCAATAACAGCCAGCTTATGCCGCATTGGCCAATGGCATTAGTCTCTCCATTTGACGAATACCTCGTCTGTTCTAAATCTTTGTGTGCATGAACTGTCCTCGAGGGACGTCCTGAAGCCGGTCTCGTAGGCCAATAGACCGGCATGGGCAATCATGATGCCGTTGTCGATGCAGAAGCGCTCGTCGGTCGCATAGACACTACCGCCTCTCTCCGCAGCCATTCCGCCCATCATCTCTTGTAGTCTCTCGTTACAGCCGACACCTCCCACGATCAATACCTGATTGCTGCCAACGTGTGCCATGGCCCGCTCCGTGATCTCGACCAACATGGCAAACACTGTCTCCTGCAGCGAAAAGCACAAATCAGCCGGTGTGAACGTCTCCTCCCCCTTGGCCTGCGCCGCCTTCATCTGGCCTGCGAGAATATCCGCATAGGCAAGGATGCCCGAGAAGGAGCAATCCATGCCCTTGACGGCGTACGGCAGCTCCAGTAACCGCGTCCCCTTCTTGGCCAGCTGCTCGATATTGTATCCCGGCGCCGGGTCGTTGCTGATCTCGAGCGTGCGCGCAAAGCGATCGAGGCAGTTGCCGACGGCGATGTCGAGCGTCTCGCCAAATATGCGGTACCGCTGCTCGGCGTAGGCAATGACCTGGCTGTTGCCGCCGCTGACGTACAGCACGACGGGGTTCTGTGCGCCGGTGATGGTGCGGCCCATCTCGATGTGGCCGACGCAGTGGTTGACGCCGACGAGGGGCTTGTCCCACAGTAAGGCCAAGGTGCGGGCGGCGACGGCGACGCTGGTCAAGGGCGCGCCCATGCCGGGGCCCTTTGTGAAGCAGACGCAGTCTACGTCGGCGACGGCGACGCCGGCCTCGCGGAGGGCGCGGCGGGCGATCTGGACGAAGAAGGAGCGGTGGTGCTTGGCTGTGTCTTTGGGGAGGAAGCCGGTGCCGGGCGGGGAGACGAAGGTGTGGCGGATGTTGGAGAGGATGGTGGACTCTGTACCGTTGTGGAGCATCACGCCGATGCCGAGCTTGTTGGCGGAGCCTTCGCAGCCGAGGGCGATGAGGCCGCGCTTCTTGGTCATATTTGCTGTCGTGAGCTTGGAGGGGGATTCTGCGGTCATGGCTGCGGGTGGTGGTGGTGGTTGTTGTTGCTGTTGGTAGTGGTATTGAGGTGTTGGTGGGGTGTCGATGTCGAGGTTTAGATCGCGGGGCCTCTTTGGTTGACGGGCTGCGGTGTCACTCATGGGGCTGGACTTTGCCAAATACGAACCCCCCTTCACCACGAATCTTTTGGTACTTGAAAATATCAGAAGCTGATTTCAGTTTGGTAAGCTCGAATTCATTTCCTTATTACGCCACAAGTATGGAAAATTCATATAAGCAAAGGGAGTATGGCGACTATCTGCTGTCTGTCGCGGGGGGAAAAAAATTTAGGTATGAGCCAATGGAAAAATAGAAGTTGACGTAGGAGGGGTAATCCCGTTCGTTGGTGGGATGTCCATGTCGGTTTTCCAGCGAGAGAACTGTGGATGGGTAATTATGGGGCCCCGATTCTGGTCCCCTGCCCACGGGCCCCAAGAGCAGAAGCAGAAGCGCGGCTGCGCAGCATACCTAAGGTACTGCGTAAGGCAGGTGATCCCTCCGGAAACTTGCTACAACGGTTCTTGACACACAACGCCGTACCGCACCGGACCCTTTTCTGCCTTTTGCGCAAATGTCCACGGGTGAGCCGCCCATCCCCCCCTCCGCTACCTTAGCCTACCAGCCTTCCTGCCTAGGTGTAACCTCCCGGCAAATGCCACCCGCCTCACCTCAACCCCAGGACGTCTGCTCGGTCTCCTTCCTTTTTTCTTCAGTCTCTGTGTCCTTTTCCCTACGAGATTGAACCTTACTGACAAAATATACGATGCCTCTGTTCTCTAGTCCGCGATATAGGCATACTCAGAGCCAATTATTTTCCCATTGACCCCGTTGGCGCACCGTTTTAATCGCTCACAAACCCCCGGTCAAAGGGTACCTTTCTGAGGCTTCCCAAAAGGCACACACATTTATCCCCACACCCACCACCGTGCAAGCCTCGACGAGAAAGTGGACTCCCCCTTCCCATTCTCACTACACAATTCTTTCTCTCTTCTTCTGCTCCAGGATATTTCTCTCTCACCCCTCTTTCCGCGGCCGTTGCTACAGATATCCTCAATTTTCCCTCATTCCCCCTCTTTTTGTCTCTTGAATATCTCTTCCAAGCCCTTTTCAGGGTCCCCCGTTCTTGTCCTGTCTCGTGATCGGCCGAGGGATCTGCGGGCACAGATCAGCCGAATCGGGAGACGTTGGAGAGACTCTCTCTTTCTCCCAAGACAAAGGTCGACCTGCTGACCTACTTCACGACTACCTTCCTAACCCACAACTCCACCCGTCTTTTTCTCTTTGAACAAGCCGTGAGGGCTATTGCAGGTTTGTTCTCACCTTGTCGAGCAACGATACAGAAGCTGTTCAAACTCACCAACTTGCTAATTCGTGGTTTTGGTCAGCCAGGTTCACCCCCCAGACATAATGCCGCGCCTGACCACCCGCTCGTCGCAAGCTCTCTCCGAGTCACCTTACAGACCACCACTACCTCCTCCTCCTCCCACCCGACACACCACAAGTTGAGGCACACAATATTCAATGAAGCTACCGGTCCCCTATTTTGACTATTCCTCGCTGTCATAAAGTAAGGCAATGCGCATCCAGTCCTCGGACAGAGTCAGACGCCGCCAGCCGCCGGAAGCTGACCTCAATCGTCATCTCCGCTAAGATCCGGCCGATCGCGCCCATGGCCAACGAAAACAATCCCCTCCGCTTCCACACGAAGAGCAACCAACAGGCGATCGAGTCACCGATAGAAGGAAGGCTTGAAGTACATTATTCATCTTTCTTTATTGTCTTTGGGGAATCATCTATCCCCCGGCCGAGGCCTTCGTCTTGGTAGACCACGACCACCGGTCTCCAACTCCTCTTCTTTTACATTCATTTACTTTACATGAGAGCCATCTCAACCCAAAACGCCACGCCTAACCGACCGCCCTGCCTGCCCGCCTGCCAGCCACCAGGCCCTTTGTACAAAACCGGAAGACAACCAAAACACCATTGGGGGTATACAACACACGTCATCCGAGGATGAGGAGTAGAGATCGCGCCTCGAAGGCCAGACCTTTTCTCATGAGGGGGTAGCAGCAGGTTGCGCTGGCGGAGAAGCCTGAGGGGGCTGCCGCGGTTGCTGCGGCGTTGCTTGCGGCTGTGGTTGAGCCTGCTGCTGCTGCTGCTGCGGTGTCGGAGGCTGCGGCAGTGCAGGCCTGCCAGCCGCTCCCGCTACCTGCGGAGTTGCTTGGCCGTTGACCATGCCCTCATGCGGAAGTTGCCGGCGCTGGTACACATATTGCGACAAGGGGATCGTCGCGCGGAACTTCAAAGCTCGCGTGTCATATGGGTCCACCTCGTACACCTGCGGCTCGTCCTCATCGTCTTGGTCATACTTCCACCGATCAGTATACTCTTCGCCTTCCACCCTCGGCGGGGTAGTCATTCCACTCATTCCCCGGCGGTCAATCCACAGCCGACCCAAACGGCCAATGCGTCGGCGGAAGGCTGCTTGGCTACTGGAAGGCTTCTCCTTGCCACCGCCTGCTGTGAACTGGAAGACCGACATGTCGCTTCTATCAGCCACAGCTTCGGGTTCTTCATCAACGTCCATGGCATCTGACTCGGAGGATGTGGATGCGGGAGGCGTCATCAGATACTGGGTCTTGGCAGGACGGAAGCTGGCCTCCATGCGTTGTTCCTTGACCGGGGACAGGGGGTCTCGCGTGAGGTCCACATGGTTCTGGTTCCACTTTCGGTGGTTGTGGACCTTGCTCTCAACATCTGCGCGCAACTCATTCTCCTTTTCGGCAAGCTTATCTGCCAGCTGCAACAAGTCTGCCTCCATGGATCGACCATCCGGCCGCACGGCAATGCGAAGGTGGTTGCCAGGTGGCTTCTGGAGAGCAGGCGCCTCCACGGGCTTCTTCTTGGGAGGCTGTGCCCGGTCAACACATGTCTTTGAATTTCCAGACGATGGTGTTAGACATACCTTGTGGTTGATGAGGTCGTCGTCCTCGGTTTTAATGCCGAGCTTGACCTTCATCTCCTTAAGTTTGGCCCGCTGCTCGAATATAGCCCGGTCAAAGGTAAGTAATTCACGTTTGAGCATCTCGCGCTCATAAGACTGAATGATGAGCTGCCGACCATCTTCAAGTTCTCTGCGAAGTCGCTTGAGTTTCTCGGCGCTCTGAACGTCTCGTTGCCGTGTCTTTCGCGTCTGTCTGGCCTCGCGACGTCGGAAACACACATATGGGTCGGCCTCGTCACTTTCCTGATGTGTCTCGAACTTGACGCTTGGGTGAATAGGTTTGTTGCCGAGCGTCTGTCGGCGCGTTTTCCAGTGCTCAAAGACGTGCTTGGAGTGCGCCATGAGCTTGTTGCCACCCAGCGAGGCAAGAGAGGGCACCATCAGATCATAGCCAACCACTGTGTTGTCTATGGAAGCGAATGGAGTCTGTTCAGAAGCTGTGTCTTCGAACACTTCCATAATGCGTTCAAAGTCATCTTCTGACAGTTGGGAGGCGACTGTCTTCTTGGTGGCATTGTACTGCTTTAAGAACTCATCGTCCTCAGTTGTCATGTCATACGAAACGCCAATGCATTCTTCGACAGTCTGCGAGAAGCGAATGAAAGAGGTAGGTTGCTGAAAGTTACTGGGGTAGAGTTGATCATAGTTGATCTGACTCTCCTGAGGAGGCGGGACTGGAATTTCTTGGTCATTGCTGGTGCCTGCCTCTTTAAGAATTGACTGGAGATGGTATTCCTATTGATTTGCGGTCAGTATGTGGCTGTTGTTGCTCTGGCGAGCTATAAGTGAGAAGTGGATAAGCCGGGGGTGCCAAGGCATATCACATGGTGGGTCACGTGATATCTGGCTGCGATATGGGCGAAGATGTGACTCACTGTTTCTTCGGCGGCTTCGACACCGGTCGCGATTTGAGTCTCGGTAGTCAAAGATTCGTAATCAGCAGCGTCGATATCGGTCTCTCTGAGCACAGGAAGAAGCGTCTTGACGCTCAACTTCTTGACTCTGACTTTCCTGGTCGACATGGTGGCGGGTGGGGGTCGAAGGCCGAAAGCCAGCGGAAAATCCGCGAAAAAAGTCGATCAAGTCATACAAGGGGTCATGCGACGTTGATTTTTGAAGTTTTGACGGATAAAAATCGTGGTTGTTGGCTTTGGATTGATGGTCGATCTGTTGCTGGCTATGAGGCGACGTTGATTTGGCGTTTGGCGTGAAGAAGAATTTTCCTGTTGCGCTTCTACGCAGTAAGGTAGGACCTTTCGGGTTGGATTTGGGCGTTCAAGGTACCGTGCAATAGTAGATGTGCTGTATAGGTACTTCAGGACGCTCGGGCCAAAAGAGATGGATCGGAGTTGGAAAGCAAAGACTGGCCGACACGTCCCATGGAAGTGACTGGCACCTGCCCAAGGAGCACCTGGAAAAAGGGGAAGCTGCTAGTCACGTGCCTTTCCTAATCTGTCAACATCAGGAAGTAGCGAGAGCGGTGCGAGGTCCCAGTAGAGGTGTCTAAGTGACATGAGGTAGTCCTGTCTCTGGTTCGTCACCGCCCAGATCTGATGTTTGAATCGATAGACTATGCATCGAATCTCAACTCATTCATTTCGTTCCATCCTCCCGAAACTCAAATGTGGTGGTAATACATCTGACACTTCGCAAGCCCGTTCAGGTCGTACGTCAGACAATGAGATCTAGAACTGGCCCGTGCGCAAGCAGGCTGCGGTGGGCTCCGGTACAGGTGCCCGAATCCAATCCGGCGCCTGGTCGCCGCCTGGCCGCCGCCTGACTTTACTTCGACTACCTGCCGCGCTGCACCTTGGCCTTGCTCCTGTCAACCTCCCTATTCAAGGCGAACCCCACGGCGAACTAGCGAAGTCGAGCTCGACACAAGCCCACCCAACTGCGACGACCCTGGAATATTTCCTGCCAACTACACCGTGCACCCATACAGCTTTTAGTCGAGTCCGATTTCGAGTTTCTCCATCATGGGCAATACTACCAGTACGGTGTTGGACAACATCGTCCAGGGGTCCAACTGTGAGCCCCTCCCCCGCAGTCGACTTCTTTGTCGCACAGACTTCGCTGTGCTGGAGCTGACCGGTATGCAGTCGACAGAGAGGAAGTTGACCGTCTGAGGAAACGTTTTATGAAGCTGGATAAGGTATGCATTCCCTATGACCTACTTGTTCCCTCCCCCATTGCGCTCAACGGCGACCCGTTTGCCACCAGAAGAAAATGTTGCTGACCCTTCTTTCATGCAGGACAATTCCGGCACAATCGAGCGCGATGAGTTCCTCAGCCTGCCCCAGATTTCCTCCAACCCACTAGCCACGAGGTAGCCAAAGTCCTCCCGATGCAATACGCTGCGAATCACGTTACTAAAGCAATCTCACACAGAATGATTGCGATCTTTGACGAAGA